CACAGTTGGTTTTTAAACAAATAAACAATATAATTATTGATAACAAAAAAACTTTTTAATATAAATATTTCTTGATTGATTCCTGAAGTCTTCGCGAATATTCTTTTTGTTAATTTTTTTTCTCTACTTTCAACAGAGAATTGAGAAAATGAAAACTATCATATTTTTATAATTCTAAGAATTTCATATTAGAGTGGATTCAAGGCGGATTCAAGTGGATTCAAGTGGATTCATGGATTCATGGATTCTGCTGTTCCCCCTTGGTTTAAACGCTCTGAAAGTGAGAATTCTGCGTGAAAAATGTGTTTCGTGTGTTTCGTTACTCAGCGTTAATGACTCATAATCGCGGTTCCCGATCGACTGTGTAAACGCGTTTGCCCAAAAGTTTGTCTGCTTGGGCTCTTCCTTCGTCAATTAATCGTCTAACCAATAACATTTGCAAGTGGAGATTTTTAATTATAAAGTATTTTCATTCTCCTTAAGATAGCGCACTCTATAAGTATTATGATATACTTACGATCTCCAGGTAAAATGAGCTTACTGACACCCACCCACACCCACACCCACAAAGCTGTTCAAATTTAATTAAAATTCATGTAATTAGGCTTAAATATTTCTTAGGCGATCTAAACTCATTACTGTGCTTTTTATCGAATTTAAGTCTAATTAAATTGGTCTAAATTGAATTCACATTGTGCGACCGATTTGAGTAAATATAAAATTTTTGTTAATTTTAAAAAGTTAAATTCATTATAAATTTAAATCGATAAAAGCTAAATTTAATATAAATTAATTAGAAATCGATGAACACTTCTGATCTTTATTATGAACTACAATACGTGACGCGTTCGATGGCAAATAAAAATGTGATGAATACATTTGAGACAGACACTAGTATAACTTTTAAAAGTTTTCTGTTTAATGTTTAAAATCAATTGAAACCTTCCCGATCACTATTTTGCAAATAAAAGAGAGAATATACGATTTGAGAATGTACATTAAAAAAAAGCATTTTCTAAAAACAACTTTTCATAATGATACCTTTGAAGCTAAAATGTGAAACTTGTATATGTGCATTAGCCTAATTTAGCTAACACAATGCGCGAATTAAAAGCTTTCTTGTAAACTATCTTTACATTTCAAGATAGTTCGTCAATCAGTTATCAGAACAATGATTCGCCCTTTTTATTTCTGTATTTTTACAAGCGTTTTCATCATTTTCTTTAAAAACACACAGCTGTTCCATAAAACAACTAGTGCAACTCTCTTGAGAGATATTTACTTTAAAGTAATTAGATACAGTCATTTTTATGATGTAAGCTGGGAACACTACTACAACTGTAGTTGAAAAGGTATTTTCATTTGTTAATGCTAATTGAATTACTATCATTCGACTGTTAAATCTAACTGAAAGTAGTTAATTTAATTTTCTTGTTATACATGTTAGTTTTATATTTCTATTAAATAAATACTTGATTTAAAGCACTGTAATTATAATTTTATGAAATAAAAATGAATATGAGATTAGTGGATTCGTTGGAGAAAAAAAACTAGTTTAGGAAAAAGGAACATCATTTATTACGAAATTCTAGATAGATGATCACTTTGCCAAACAAGACACTACCTTTCAGTGCATTGCAACATAAAGAAATTTATTCATGTTGACACATGTTTCTTAATTGACATAGCACTTTTGTTACATGTATTCCGATTTATTTCAAGTAATGAATTCCATTAAGTTAAAATGAGCACTTTTTCACGATATAAAAAAACATGTTCTGAAAGTTGCTGAACAAGTTCTTCAGTATACGTTTTCAAGCGTTTTTGGAGAAACGGGTTTTCTAACTATAAGAACGAACTACTCACGAACAAGTTCAAACGCATACAAGTTGAAAGCGTTCGTGCGATAAAAGGCGCCTTCACTATTAACGCGTTCAATAAGATAAAAACACCTTGCTTACCAACAAGTATGCGTTCGAATGCGTTCAAAATTTTGAGAAACGCGTCTGAACGCGTCAATTTATTCTTAGAACGCGTTTCTAGTCGATAAAATACGTTCAATTTTTTCAAAAATGCGTTCTTTCACGTTCATTATAAGGAATCTTTTTCCACGGGTGATCAAACATAGTAAAACATAAGAGCGAAATATGCTTTCTCTGCTCATAGAACACGAAAAATTCTCCAAACTTCCCATATGAAAATAGGGAATCTGGGTCACTTAATTTATTTTTCATATGAACTAAGTAGATTTAGTTTCCATTGTCTCATTAACTGATCTATTTTTAGTTTGACATAGAAAAGTTCCCATATCTCTTAAGAGCTAGTATTAACAAATTTCCTTTTTTGACGAACTCCAGTTTGTTATAGTCAATGTTTGAAATCATAGCATTACTCCCCTTGAAATTACCCAGTATGCCTTATCGAAATATGAGATTAAACATGTGTAATGTTGTTTTTTGACTTTCATGCGTTTCTTTCTTTCAACTGCTTTCAATACTGTACTATAAGAAATTCATCTTGTGGATTTTTTTAATGTAGGACTGTTCTGTGTAACCGAATCTCCTGAGTCGACTTTCCAACTAAGAGAAAAAGAAATGGTGTAATTTTCAATTAAGAATTCGAGATAAGAAAACAAATGTGAAGGTTTTGCTTATCCTAACCAGGATTATATTACAGATGGAATGATGAATCGAAAAAGGTTTTTTCCAATGTGCATAAAAAACAAACACTTCAGGATATAAATACAGATAATGTGCTTTATGTCTTAGTCAATTCTAAGTATTTCTTTAGAAGTTTAATTGTTCGCAGCCGTTAGCTGTAGTAAGTTATGAATACATATTCAATTCAACTCTTACTTTTATTTAGTACATCAATACAAAATACTTCCCTTTAATTGAACAATAAATTTTTTAGCCCATGTAGAAGATTTGGAAATTCAAGTATGTATCTAATTTTACCAAGAAAAGCAGGAAAATTCCAGAAACGATTGAAACCTTGATACATTATCCCTCAACAGAAGTCTTCCGATGTTTTGTAATTCTTGCCTACGAAAGAAAAACCAGAAAATCGCCAAAAAATGAATCCAATACGTTGCTAATGAACAACTTCTTTCGCTCAAGTTCAAAAAGAATTGATCATCTGATAATAAATTTAAAATATCCATTTGTAATAGTTCTTTCAATAGGAAAATCATGAAAGAAGAGATGAAAGGACGTCTCGCTTTTTCCTTCAAGAACTTTTCTTCGGAAAATACGATGAGTCCTAATAGATTCTTTTCAAAAAATACAGTTAAAGGGTGCCCCATAAATTCTGGACCTTGACAAAAATTAGCTTATACGTACAAAAGGAGTGATCCGAACCTAACTCTTTCTATATGAGTTTCGACTACTTGAGATGCTCTTTAAAATGGCATGTCATGAGATGACATTATCGCTTTTCATAATAGTGACATAAACACAAGAACTGTGACCATGAAAATCTTCAAATCGACCGATATTTTTCAAGAAGGTTTAATGAGTTATGGATTGATTCTATGTGCCGTAATACAATGGCATAAAGCGATACATAGTTATCTAAATAAATTGTTTCTTCGACAAATATCATGAGATACTACTCGCGTCATCAGTTACACGCCAAATAAACTATTTATAATGAAGAAGACATGAACATTTGACAACAAAATTTCACCTGAAGATGGAGATGCAAATTTTGGAGATATCTGGCCTGTTGGAAATGTATGAAACATGTTAAGCAAAACATTACGAGAAGAAGATTTTTCAAATTTCAATCAATTAACAGTTGTATTAAACAAAGAATGGAAAAAAATAGTTGTGATGCTTGCAGAAAAATGATTGACAAAATTCCTAGTAGACTTCGAAAATCATTATGAAAAGCGATAGTATCATCTCATAATATGCCATTTTAAAGAGCGTCTCAAGTACTCGAAACTCATATAGAAAGAGCGAGGTTCGGATCATTTATTATGTACATATGAGCTAATTTTTGTCGAGGCCCAGAACTTATGGAACATCCTTTAAGCTTTTACATGAATAAGGAAGATATTTAACCTACCAATAGTCCGACTATTTGCACATGAGCACTTTTGATTTTAGAGTAAATGCTTTCAACATTGATAACCTTTGGATTCTTGATAATATTCTTATCATCGGCGTCCACCGATAGCGATGACATATGGAAAGTAGAAATAGGCACGAGTAGTATGGGTCGAATCAAATATGAAGATGGTGAAGTAGTTCTTTATCAAAATCGATTAAAGCCAACTGATATCTTTTTCACTCCATTCCCCCGTGTTGATCCGACAACTAGCAATTGTCTTGAGAATATTCTTAGTGGATACATTGAATTAAACCTTTCCGTCGAACTTTATACTTCTCGACTTGTTCAAGCTGTGAAAAGCTATTTGAAACAATACTTTTCTGAATTATGTGCACAAAATGTAACATGTGATGTTTCTTTACTACCAATGAGTGCTGTTCGGCTGGTTCAAAAAGGTCTCCGGACAAGTAAAACAAGAGAATTATACACGATTGACGATGAATGGCATTCAAATACTCTACTTCTTCAAGCAATTGATTTCGTTATATATACAACAAATCAAACTGCTTGTGAAAGACTTCGTTTATCGATTGTTGAAAGATGCTATCTTTCAAATTTTGAAATTCATTATACTCTTCATTCGGAGAAAACCGTCGAACGACAAGTGGAAATTTCTACTGAACAGGTCACATCAACAGACATGTTTAATAAAATACATTCTCGGTTCTCTCAATCCGATACAGTAGCACTTACTGGTGGTGATTTTAAACAGTTGATTAATGAAGTTACTGATAAAGTCACTATGAAATTACGTGTACAGGAAGGTTTTGATGCCAAAATACAAGATCCAATAGATCTTGGCAAATTAATTGAACGACAACTACAATTTAAACAGGTTAGACCAGTGTCATTTCCCATTTTACGTATATGCTCTAGTTCTATTCATCTATAGTATAGTAATTAGTATTTAAGGAGTACAAGTAGAGTTGATAGATCGAAAATTTAAACCATTACAGCTTTTGTCTTTCAAAATCGGAAGAAAATCACACGCTCTAAATATTTTACAAAGATTATCGGAAAATATATTTTATTAGAAAAGAGAATGTGCTCACATACTCATATACAGTTTAGTAATAGAAAGAATACTTTGATCGTTATATCCATTTTGCAAAGATCGTAGCACCAGATTGATATAAAACTGTAATCAAAAGTATAAACTCATTCAGAAGCACAATAATCAAAATTCATTCTGATCTTGAATTTCTTAGGTACTAAATTTTATAGTCGTGTAATTAGAGGGGACGTTGTTGCCTGTATAATATACTATCTATATTAATTGATGACATTCAAATCTGTCTGAATAAATAATCGACAGTACGTCATTTAATAGTTATATGGAAATAAAGATGATGCTTTGTGTATGTCGCAGCAATGTACCCTTAAGTTATTTCAAAACCTCCCTTTGAGAAAAAAAGAACCTAGGTTAAAGAATGTAACACAAGATCTTGCAAGATGAACAAAATCTTATAAGAATTAAATCAAAAATTGTTGTCTCTAAAATCATGTATCAGATCATACTATATTTTCGTGAAAAGAACTTACATTCACTTTATCTTCATTAAGAACTTGTAGTGTTATTTTAAGGAGATAAAAGTTTTAATAGAAATGTTAAAATGATAATTTATACTTAATACGATCTTACGTACGTTTTTTCAGCTGATCTCGTCATATTAGATATACGATCCTTGTAAGAGCTTATTGTTTGATTGTTCGACCTATGATTGAAAAATAAAAAAACCAGAAGATCTGATAATCCTGAGCATAAGAGAAAATTTCTTCAGAACGATTATGAATAATCGAAATGATCAATTTCTTTAATTGTAACTGTTGCTAAATAGTAGTCCATAGATGAGAAGAAATACGCATGTTGTAGGATTGATGTTGAAACAATCGTCAGAAAGGTATTTTCTATTTAATATTGTTGATTGATAGAACATAGAAGAGAAACGTTAACAATATTGTTCTTCAGGTTCACCTGGAGAAAATGAATGATCAAGTCTGGGAATCACTTTATTGGACACGTGAGCAAACTCGACCAGATGCTTTAGCCAAAGTCGTAAATACCATAATTCGCAAAAACTCAACTGATGGAAAACATTTTATTTACGACAGTCAAGCAGCTAAAAATGCTCAGAAACTTCATTTGACCCAACATGATATCGATAAATTCGATCAACTAGACAAATTCTTGGGAACGTATGCCCACTCTACTGCATCATCCAATTCGCACGATAGTAGTTCAAAGGGCGGTCTTTCATTTGGTTTTAAAGGCTTTAAATTCGGTAGTAGCCGCTCGGGAACTAGCCAATCACAGTCGCAAAATTCTGAAAATCTTAACACAGTGACAGATACGCTGCACAACTTAAAGACAGACAAAGATCATTTGAATAGTATCAAGACTGATGTACTCAATGATACACAGCATACACTCACACGTGACGATGTTGAAGCTTATCTGAGCGAACTGTCCGATCATATACAAATAGAAGGTGAATTAATCCGTCCGAAACCAATTGATGTTCATCTGGTTAAATTGAGTACATTGAGAGTTGCAACAAAACTTCTGTCACATAGCATTCTCGTTCGTACCCGTACTATTGTTCATGTTCTACCACTTCGATGTCCATCCGCGGAGAAAACAACAGCTGCTGATAACATAACTACTAAGTATGATTGGCTCGTCGATGACGTCGGTGAATTGAAACAAACTATTAAAAATCTCACGAATCAACTGGATCAATCTAGGCAACAAATGTTGTCGTATACTGCTAAAATTGACAATTGGACGAAGAATGCCGATGAGTTCAAAAGTCGAATGGAAGAATTTCAAAAAGAAATTGCAGAAAAGCAAAGACATATGTCAAGCAAAATTTTTAATCTCTCTCAGCCGGCAAGTTATGTTACTAATATCACTCGACTTGAGAATCATATTAAAGAACTACAAAGCACAACCAATCAGCAGTACAGTACACTACAAAACAAAGTTACAGTTTTACAAGGAGCTATTGGCTCAACAGCAGATGCAGGTAAATACGGTATTTTATGATAAACGAAAATTAACACGTAGCAGAGATTTTTCGGAGGTGATTGTTTAAGGGGCTCCCGCTCTCAGAAAATCGATTTTTTTCACAAAAATCAATTTTGAGATAAGCATATATAGTGAGAGCTCAACGTGTCCTCTTTCAGATTATGTGCGATTTGTCATGTTTTGAATAGTTTTTGGTGGTGAAAATAGCGGTTATCTAAAAGCAGTAGTAATATGTTTTTTTCAGAAATTTTCCTTAGTTATGGGGATCTGATATTGGTCGATAAACTGATAGATTTTATCTAATGAGAAACAGATACGCGTTCTGTTATATTAATTAATTAGCGGAACGTAGTCATTTCTACTTAAAATCTTGTGCACATGACGAAATTTCCGTATAGATGTCGTGACAGTCATAGTGAAATGAAAAATTGTTTCATACAAATTGTTTATTCGTTTTCTCAAAATCGCTTTTTTTTTTGGAGAGTTCGGAACAGATTTCTCAGACTGTAGAAGAGCTAGCGAGCTATTTTTTCTTTTAAATAAAAGAGAGACCTATATCTAGAAATGTATGTAGCGTTTTTTCGAAAATCGATTTTTTTGCCGAGATAACTGGATAACACTGATGCCAAAAAGCGCTAAATTCCGAGTTCTTGCAGTAGAATGTCTCGGAAATCCGAACAAAATCGAATTTCGAAAAAACGCTACATACATTTCTAGACATAGATTTCTTCTTTTATTTAAAAAGAAAGTAGCTCTCTACGTCTTTGGCAGTTCGAGAAATCAGTACCTTACGAGAATCACCATTTTGGGGACTAATTTGTCAATAACTTTTCAAAGCAAAAACTTTATGAGCCAAAAACTTGCAAGAAGTTGAGTTAACACAACACCCATATTGCCTAAAAATTTCAGGTAAATCGGTCCACGAATAACAAAAAACGATTCCTGAGGGGGTAGCCCCTTAACATTCTAATAATGTACGGAGTGATCGTTTTTCTCTATCTACTCCAGTGCTGTAACCAATCACCAGAGTCTCTCGGATTCTGAAATGTTGGGCTCGGATTCGACATTCTCTACCTGTAAGCCATTGCTCAATTCATGTATTGAGAATTATTTGATCGGAATGAGCCATACTTGCGTCTGAATCACTGCAAATATTATCCAATGGTTTAATGTCACTCATAATGCTTATTACAGAGCCTCTCTCTATAAAGATATATGTTAAATATAATATGTATTCCTTTATGGTTCGAAATTTACGTGAATTTCGTTTCTTCTTCTTATAAAAATGTAATTAAAATAATCACTATGATTTGATAACAAGTATCACCATAATGAATGCACCAATTCGAACTAAATTTTCTCATTCCATTGTTCTAGGAAAAAAAAACATTGTTTATATAGTAAGACCGAGACAAGGAGAGAGAAAGAGCAGTAAAGAAACAAAGAAGAGAGAGACAACAAGATTGACTTAGACTCATATACGTAACTGTACGTCATGTGATATAAGTAAAGAACCCATACATGCATATATATGAGCAAGATAAAGGGAATATATATATATATATATATATATATATATGTTGTGGCCGAAGTTAGAATACTGAATTCGACTAACAGGAACTTGGTTGAAGATCGAATTCTAAGTTAGACCAGATGAAATTCGAATTAATTTTTAATGAATAGAAAACAAAGATTTCAAGAAAAAATCTTTTTAAATTTTATTTAACGAAAAATAATTAATATCAGATGATATTTTGTCGGGTCTTGTAAGCATATCTATAAGATCTATTTGCAAACGTGTCATAAAACCCAAAGAAATGATTGCTTTTGAAGCAACATGATGTTTTATTGGCTTTCTGGTTTGACATGACAGACATTGTTTCAAAAATATTTTAACGCAATATCGAGGAAGTCAATAGTATTGAGCAATTATTTTGCAGAATAAGTCTTTCACGACCACCATATGCAACGGCAATATATGCTTCATGTATAATTTTATAAAATACTTCATAAACGCAAACTGGCTTTTTAGATTTAGCACAAATTACAATATCATTGCCAACAATTTTAAGTAAATTAAAATGGGATTTTGCCCAAAACACAAATCTTGAACAACATAATTCAGAAGCCGTTCCTTTTGGTAACATTATACAATGAAGAATGTCATTATAACATTGCTAATACTTTTGATGCCATGAGTTAATGTACTCATAAATTTTTTATGAAAAAATTGTCTCTCTATTATCAGCTTCAACAAGTGTTGAGTTAGACGCCATTTTTTATTTTACAGCTTCGCTGTTCAGTCTTTCAATAAATATATTTTGTTCCCTTAATTGCTACCCAATCAATAAACAATCAATTAAGAAACAATCATAAAATTGCATGTACAATCAAATCAACAAATAAAGGAATATTTTTTATCACGACTAGTGATTTCTATTCATTAAAAATTAATTTGAATTTCGTCTGGTCTAACTTAGAATTTGAATTTCATCCAAACTCATGTTAGTCGAACTCAGAATTCCGCTTTAGTCTGGACGCAATTAGAATTTCAACTTCGACTAGACGAATTCCGAATCAGGCTGTATTCTAACTTCGGCCATAACATATATATATATATATATATATACATATATATTGTTAGAAGAGCTCTAACAATGCTTCATCGAAATCTGATTTTGAATGAATATTAAGGCGTAGAATGCAATATTCACTGTCTTTTTCTCAACCTACTTGAAAAAGTACAGTACGAATACTGATGTATTTTCAGTTTCCGTAATTATTGAAACGATTTCATCTGGTTGAATGCTCAATACTAGAAAAAATGCAATGAAGTTTATTCAAGGGGAAAAGCAAAATTCCGGCCCATAGGAATACTGGAATCTCACTTTTTCTCCCTTGAGTTGCTTCCTCGCACACTATCTATTTCTGCAGATTTTTCTCTTTCTCAGTATCTACGATGAGCCTAAATTTAAAAGAGCTCGGAATTCTGCATTAGCTTTCCCTGCTCATGAACCATTCATCAGTCATTAAAAATTGAAATCACCTATGAATATTGCAATAACTTTAACCCATTAATTAATTGTCTATGAAAAATATTGCATAAATAATACATAGAGAACATTGATTGAACACTAAATAATATTGTTACGAGTAGGGAGTCCATCGTTTTCAATAATATTCATTGATATCAATTGATTTCACAAATTAAAGCAGATATTTTAAACAAATATTAGAATAATAACAATATTTTAATTCGTTTCGATTCATAAATAAACTTTTTTCTATGCAATATTTCAAGCAAAACTTAGGCCGAGTCGGTCGGTATCGGTTACATCTCTGAACTACTTCCATTGTAAAAATCATATTTGATCCTTCAATAGAATGCTCCATATGAGAAAGATAAGTATGGTAATATTTTATCCATAGCAAAGTGCTTCTAAAAAGAAACGTATTTTGATATGTTTGGTATATTTAGCAAAAATGGAGGAGAAATTCAGCCAAGTTATAAACGATCTAACATATATACGAGTCAGAACTGTCTATGCATGCCGAGTTTGCTTTCAAGAGACAGAAGGATCATCTCAATGTCAAGGAAACCGAAATTCCTGTTCTGGTTGGAGCACAAGTCCACAATGGACGGCGCATTATCGTGATGACACTGACGGTCGAGCTGGTGGTTGTGCATATTTTTGGAAAATCGAATGTCTTACAGGAGTTTGATGATTTTAACGTTGAATAGTATGATGAAAACGGAAAATTTCATACACTTTTCCTTCATTTAACTTTGGGTAACCACGGTTCGTTCATATTTTCATTTTATTTATTGAACTACTGGTGTGAAGCGTAATATTGAAATTACTACAAATAAAGCGTCAAATTAATCGAGAGGAAAGTAAATATTCTTTCATGATATAAATTAATAATAATATCATAATAATGCATGGGATTTGATAAGTGACACAATCATTTTCTTCCCTAAAAAATCAATTTAATATTGCTGAAACTGTTATATTGCATGTTGCATTGTGAAACAAATTAGTAGAATACTAAACCTTAAGAAAAAGGTTTATTACTTTCTTAAACAGGGTATTTTATTCTACGGTGAGGGATTTATTGTTCTACTCCATCATCAAAAGGTTTTTTTATTCTTCGTCCAAAGGATCACACTTTTCAACTGATATATATATATATATAGATATAGATATAGATATCATGAAAATTTCTCACAGGGCACTTCAAACAATTTAATATAATAAACATATTAATCCAATCATTTTCTCACAATGCTGCCATTCATGTATCGATGCACTTTTCATTTCGTACCTGTTTTGTAAAACATAACGGTATGACATAGAGGCGCTAATTTCTCTAATAAATTTTGAATAATTTCGAGCTAAACTTCATTCCGCACATTCTTTAAAAATAAAAATCAGACGGCTTCACATCAACAACTTCATACAAAAACGTTGAGTTAAATCAATCTGAAAGATATTATGGTGATTACGGATTTATTCCAAAGTCGCAGTGGTATTCAGAGAAAAAATTTGTTTTTACATCCACCCAAGAGAACAAATTGAAGTAGGCATTTTACTTCAATATATTTATATTCTTCCTTTGCTTGGTTGAAAATAAGCTCAACATAATGCAAGTAATAACATTTCAAAAATAATTTCTGGTTGTCTTTAATTTAGATCAGTCGCCACAGCTAATGGAAAATAAAGGTGATTTACTTATATATTTATATCTTTTCTTTTATTTACTTCCAATCAAAATTCAAAATGAAAACTGATGTATTAAAACTTTCTCTGTGATTATTTCCTTCTTTTTATTTCGGTCCATTGATACAATGTATTCAAAGTGAATATATCGTTTCACATATGTCTTTATAAATCTTATATTTTTCTACCTTCAGTTCAATATCAAACAAATAATGTCAGTATAAAAATATTTTATAAATAGCTATTTCTTTTTTTTTCTATTTAGATTCGCCGAAGCTATACATGGAAAAGAGCTATGAAGATCGCTTTCAGACATATGGGACAACCCAGTCAGACAAGCGTCTTAAAAAACGCGTCACAGCGAATGCATACTTTGACGCTTTCATGTTGTAAGACGTTAAAGCATCTTAAAATTTCGTAAAAACGCTGTATTTATGATCTCATGCATCTTGCATCTACATCTCCTAATAGAATTTCTTACGACCCACACCTTATACACCTCTCCAGACAAATATGTGCTATTTTTAACACATGGGCTAATAAAGATTTTAAAAATTGATCAACAATTTTATAAAAGTATGAGAAATATATACGTTATAGATTTCTAGAAAAATAAGAAATATGTTAGCAAATTTTTGAAAAAGTGGAACAAAACGTTTTTAAATCTGTTTAAAATCTTTTTTGAGGAAATATATTTCTAAAACAAATTTTTCCTAATTTATTTAAATATTTAAAAAAATTATTTTTATTTCCAAAGAAATAATTTTTTAAATGCAAAATATTTGTATTTTTTTTATGACAATTAAAAATGTTATAAGAATTGATCCGCTTAACTTTATATCACCTTCAAGTTCCAATAAAATTTCGCTCGATTTCAGTAGCATTTCTTACTTCATCTTATTATCGTACGACTGACCGAATGGATAACATCTTGGACTATCAACCAATTCATCTCATGATCGAACATAGGACAACGCAGTAAGTTCCAAAACCTTAATTTTAATCTGGCAGATAAATTACAAAAAAATGCGTTGTGGCGTGCATTATAAACACAAACGAAAAAGAATCATAGTGTACTCATTTGTTTTTGGATTCTTTTTTCTAAAAGATTGTTAACGCGTTTTTTAAGGCGCTTCTCTGAATGGAACAAAAGTAATAAACCCTTTAAGGTTATATTAATATACGGTTTTTATTTACAGTGTAGTGCATCAACAACTTACATTTCATTAAATATTTTTCATTCCATAGGGCAAATAAAGAAAAAGAACAAACAATTACAGCAAATCCGTGCCAAATTTGATGAAACAAAATAAACATCGTTATGATCATTATCAAACAATCAAACTACTTCAAAATACAGACATTTATCTTTAGATATGATACTGTTCTATGTTTTTCCTCTTTTCTTTTTTTCATTTTTTCAAATTCAAAAAACAACAACATTCAACATTTTATATTTCTTTTTCTCTGTGCCACCTTTCATTTTTGTTATTATTCCCTGTTTTTTTTCTTTTTTTCATATCTTGATATTATTTAAATTTCAAATACACAAATTCATACAATGCTGATCAACATTGTCGAAGGTAAATCTATAGATTATAGTAGCTGCTCTCACCCTCAAGACGATATTTAATCAAGCGTTTGTCCTAAAATAGTTAGTTAATTCAACTCATAAGTTTCAATGTCGTCGCATAAAAACTCCCTTGCTCCAGTGAATGTTGCTTGTCCGTGACCCGACGTATCAATAAAAGCTTGGGGAAAGTCAATAGTACTCGGCGTTACATCACAGTTGTTCTGTACACAAATATCAGCAGAAAGACAATTAGCAGCAGCACCGTAGAGGCCATACGCAGAAAAGCCAAGAGCAAGGCCACCAGACCAGAGACCAAGTGTAACACCACCAAAAATCGGTCCGCCGTGATTATAATGATAAGCAGAAAACTTTTTGTTAGTGGCTTAAAAATGAAAGAGAATGTAATAATTGGTGAGTAAAATAAATGAAATGATCTGGAGAATAAAAAGATGATCGACCAAAAATGAATGATCAGCAAATTATTTAAATGGTCAGCTATTTAAACAGTTGAGTACCTGATATTTTTAAAAGAATCAGTCAGTTGAACTAAAGGGTAATTGCAAACATCGAAATGTGTAGTAATGTCATTCTCACAGTTACGGACTCTCAGTTGAGCGAGATCTTTCCTCAATTGATGCAGAAGTGTTTGTCCAAGAGAATGAGAACGATTCTTAAAATGATGAACTTTATCATGTCAATGAGTCAACTGAAAAAAAAACCGTTGTTACCCTTAAAAATGATGTTACAATGGCTCTATATGCGGACACATTATCACCGTGTATTTGTTTGAAATATTGCAGACTACCCGCAGCAAAACAGTGCCGATTAGGGATACAACGGTGACGAGTATGATTCGTTTTACCATCTACGAAATGCCGTCTTAAAACGATAAGCGGTACGAGTCGACAAGGGATTTAACGGTAACTGAAATCAAGGCAAAGAGACTTAATGGTAATCGGCTTAAAATGGAAAGTGGTTCAACGGTATCCGGTTCTAAGAGGAAAGTGAATTAATGACAACCGACTCAAGGCGGCGAGTGAATTATTGATAATCGTTTCAAGGCGATGAGTGGTTCAAAGATAACTGGTTTGGATCAATCAGTAGTTTAACGATATCCGGTAAATCTCGGTCAACGATATAACGATAATTGTTGCAGACTGGTACCCGCTCTAACGAACGATACCCTGTGTCAGTCGGTATATGATTAATCAGTAACCGCACTGAATTTATCAAAAATCGGCACGAATCGGTAATCATTTTTTACGTAGTCCACTATTCATAGTCATTCACTGATGTTGTTCGATATTTGATAGAATCAGAGTTTTAACGGCTACTTTTATGGAAGTGGGTGAGAGTGTGGGTGTGAGGTTCTCTTTTTTACTTACACTCACGCCCACACCAACTCTAACCTATAAAACTTCATTAAAACTTGTATTTATATTAACTATATTTTCTATTATTGAAAGGCACATCAGTTTTTCAAAATCGGACGTATACGAGAAAATCTGACATTACTAACATCAAAATACTTTTGTATAATAAGATTTACTTTTCCAAAATCTCACTAGATAAAGCTTGAAAATCCGTACGGGAGGAGCTCAGACCCCTGGCTCCGCCACTACTTTTCAGGGTCCATCTTGCGGTGAATTTGTTTTAGTGCAGCTCATTAAGGGATCGAAAATTGATATAATAAACAGCATCATTCAACCTGGCACACTCGTTTTAGAAATCGCGTGTGCATAACATCAAAGAAATAATAAACTACAATAGTTAGAAGTCTCGAATTTCGCACGTATTCCTAAATATGTCTCGGCTTTATAACTATTTAATTAGTTCTTACGTTAGTCAAGTCTATTAATAGAGCTAGAGAAACAAACTTGTGTAGTACCCTATGTATATCTACTGATCATTTACATTTTTTTCTACTGATCATTTACATTTTTTTCTACTGATCATTCCATTCATTTTACTGACCACTTAAATGCTGTCCAATATTAAATTTTGTCATTGCCTGACCACGTGGATTTGTTAGTGTGAATAAAAAGGCTGTTGAGTCTGTTCTTCGTCCATTATCTGAGCTCCATGGAGGCACGGTATATCCACCGAACAGATATCCGCCAGATTTTGATTTAATAATTGTCATTGTTGGGCCTTTGTCATCGCATTGACGATGAAAATCTTTTCCAGCAAAACCATCTCTTTTTGCTTTATAGATCAATTGCCATTGTGCGTCGTCTTTACCATAGAATTCATTTAATTTCTGTTGTTGTTCAACGGTCAATAAATTTCCACCATGAAAACAAATTTCGTTTTTAGAGCATAAGATATCCGGTTTCTGATTGCTATTACCTGCGCCTTCTCGAGATTTGTGAGTAATACCTAAAACAAAATTGTCGTTATTATTTAATCACCAAAGAGTTCTGTTTGAGTAAGAGGGAAATAGCGAATCATCGAATTTTGTACAACATAACTGCTAAGAAGTTCTGACGTTCACAGCGAGAAAATTGAATCTCTTAATCTACTTTCAGTCTATGATGGACATGTCGATAAAGCAAAGGGAAAAGAGGGCTTTCGGACTTTGAAACTTACAAATTTCAAGCGAGTTCATAGATTTTGAACAGATTAGAAACTCTGATGTCCAAAGAAATCTATTTCTTCCTTGTGGTATGATCTTTTAATCTTCTCATTAGGAGGCATTGTACGTAAGCCACGATCAACGCTGCTCAATCGATGTCTCCGAATTATCTCATATTTTCACAGCAGCTGGAGCTAACCAAGTTAGAAAGGGGTATTAGTAAAATACGCGAACACGTCGAAAGGAAAGATAGCTTCACTCTACCTATATGGGCATTATAGAACTCGTTGAGTTCTGCTCACGAACACCTGCGAACACGTACTTCAAATGGGTCTGAAAAAGATTTGCACCATGCAAGTCAAAATTTATCTGCGAACACCTTTCGAAGGGTGTGGGTATATGTATTGAATACATTCTCTCACACCCATGCCCACACCCTCAAGATAGTGATATACGTTTTTTTACAGTGTATATTGAAGCTTTCTTTCCTTTTGAGATGTTCACAGATGTTCGCGTATTTTACTAATACTTCTTTCCTCGCTACACACTGCAGTACTCATTAACAATCATCTTTCATCAAACTTTAGTATGCACAGCAACTGTCAAACTTATGGGATCTAACAGATCAATTTTGTTAATGATAGTCATACACTAGACACTCGGTACAATCTCCTTGTTTGTTCTGCTTATCTCTTGAGCTACTTACTGACTTCAATTGGTAGGAATGCCACACACAAATCATAGTTCCCTTTAAGACTAAAAGAAAGAAACATCTGTTGTCATTCTGAGAAATTTTCGGAAAGTACGCACTGAGATATAAATTCTTCTTTTGTTATTTTTTCATCCTGTCTTCTTTTATCAAATTTGACAATTGTTTTGGCAATCAACGACGCAGACTTTGAGTCTTCACCTTTTAATTCGGCTACAGCTTCTAGAAATTGAACCAATTCTTCGATGCTGATTTGTTCTTGATCGTTGTAAGCACACATTTGAAAAGTCTTCAAAAAATAGAGGTAACCAACTGAAGATAGTAATATTCAATAAAACAAAGGATATATGCGTACGAGTGCAAGTTGGTGTTCTATATCGCCTGGTAACGTTAACGCAATGGCTGACATGAATTCATCAAAGCTAATAGTGACACTCTTATTTTTATCCAGCGTCTTGAACGCATAATTACAGTAGCACCGTGATTCGCCACTGAAAATAAAATATAAAGAATGCGTAACTATAACGACACCGGCTTCGAAGCAAGACATACAGCGGGAAAAGTCGTTGAAATTCAGCTGCAAACTCTTCTTTATTCATTTCACCAGTAGGACTAAAAAGTATCATACAACAAGTGAATAATGCTAAACCAGGAGCAGAAATCATATGGTTTCTTACTGTGCAGCGATAAATTCTTTATGCCTTTTTACGATATCCGAGTTTGTTATAGTTGTAAGTTTGTTTTCAGCCCGAATTGTTCGAATTTGATCTTCAGATAAAGTTACTAGACGAGAAAAGATTGGATTATATACAACATGAACTTATTTTTAGTGTTAAATCTTATTATAAATTCAGCTTAGAATAGACAAAGAGTCTTCCAAAATATTTCATAGGAAATATCAATATACGTACTTCGTGAAGTATGATAATAATCCTTTCCTTCGTCGATTTTTCCAAGATATGCATGATAAATCACGCACCGATTAGGCTTATCGTCCAAATTGTCAAGCAAATCATGATCAATCAAACGAAAAACTGTTTTTTTTGTTTCATTTTGCGGTTGCGATTTGTATAAATTGCTAAAAAATCTTATTTGTTTATACCAGTTTTCTACATCGTTTTTTTTCCATTCATTTGAAATATGTAATAAATAGACATCATGATCATGATTTCGATTAATGAAATCGTGAATCGATGTATCCTTTGGGAATAGAAGACTTAAATCTCGTCCTTTTGATTGTTTGTTTTCTCCTTCGATATCTTCTAAATATTGACGGATTTCATTGAGTGAGTCAATTTTGGTTTTGTTCTTTGAGTTTTCTTCGACAAATTGTCGAATGGACCTAACAGAACATTCATTGTTTTGGTCGAAATTATCTAAAAAGTCGACCATTTTCTGTTCGTCAGCCTCGCCTCGACGTATCTGTTCAAGTATCGCTGCTAGTTTGACCTGCGTGTCCGTTTGTGTTGTCTTCAACTTCGTTTGTTTAGCAATAATAACTTCAATCCAATTCGATGGGATCCAATCTTTCCATGGTTTTACACTATCAAGAAAGTCATTGATAATTCTTTTACCTTGGATTATTTGTTCAAAAACATCTTCAAAGCGATTCAAGAGATGTATGGAAACTTCTCTAATGATTCTAAAATAAGAATGCATAAGAATGCGTTTATTTTAGTTCTGTGTCGGTAAAGATATATTACACGAACTCACCGGTTAATGCACAGTTCATATTTGAAAATTTCGGCGATCCGTTTCAATGGATATAATTCAAATTCAAGTTGTTGCCCTTTGCTATCATTTAATTTTTCCAACTCGAATGGTACTTTTCTGAAAATATTGAAGACATCTTCAACTGTATGTGGAACATCCTTAATCAACACATCGCCAGAAAAACTAATCTTCAGTGAGCGAAACTTTGAATTTGTCTGGTCAGCATTTACCAATTTTGCGTCACCACTAATGCTCGTTAATGGCTTCTTCAAGTATGCTGATAATTGGCCTTGAATTTCTTCGGCTGCCTCTGAAGTAGCCAAAGTTTCTTCAAATGTTGCTGCAATATTTGCACCCCAAGTAATTCCAATCACACAATGCGTTGCATTTGAGTTTTCCAATGCATCTGATGAAAAATATTTGCACAAATCAGCCATACTAATGTGTAAATGTTGTTTTTTCGTTTTCAATTGGAGGATGTGTGTTACTCGGACTGTTCGACTATCAGTTTTTGTTTGATTCAGGTATTTAGCTGAACCTTCCACATTCAGTAAACCAGCCATAAGACTAACTTTCATTGCTGCATCAATATTAAGTTTGTTGAATGTATCTCTCTGAGATTCATTTTCATCGACAATGTATGTTGTATAGGCACAATCCGTTGTTGAAACATACGATGGTGGCAATTCCCGATTAAATAAGTTTCTACCGTCGAAACGATCACTACGAATATCATACAAACCCCCAATAAACTCATGTCGACCAATGGCCTGTCTTCCAATTACTTCATTATTTGCGCTCATCTTTCAGCTGCCAATAACGAGGAGTCAAAAAAAACAATGATTGTTATTTCAAATCTAAAAACAAGAGCTACACAATCGACCATCACAATTACATCCATATAGTACTGCACATATTTGACATGAACTATTCTGGATTTCTACTGAGATCTTTTGGGTGTGGCGTGGGTGTGAGTGCACTGATAAAAAAAAGAGCCGAATGATAAACGATTAGAGCGTTTATGAAAATGCAACGCATGATATACCCTTTTCTACCGTTTACCATCATGCGATAAACCCTTTTATCTACCCATCACAAGACCAAATAAAAAGGTTTATCATATAGCGTTTATACGACTGAATAACTTTAAAAGGGTGTATCATACGTTGCATTTTCATAAACCCTATTGAAGGTGTTAGAGAGTACTCTAACAAGTTATTTATTTATTTATTTATACTTATTAATTCTTGTTTCGTCTTTATACGTTATGTATTTCCTATATGCGTAATCCAACTCGAGATTCACATACGCCAACCGCCCTTTTTCATTCTTTATTTTCTCTCTCTCTGCATATCTCTCTATTGTGTCTTCTGTCCTCCCGTGCGTGACGACGTAAATAATGGCATCGTTTCTTCGACTGGAATTTAAGTGCATTTATAGAATGATACACCATCATCTTTATATACAAAATAGTCTAGTTGAAGAAGCAAATGCCTTTTCTTCCTTTGTTTCTTTTCTCTCTCTCTCTCTCTTGTGTGTGTGGGTTGTATAGTATAAATAGGGGGAAAAAAGAATAAGAAAGAAAAGATTAAGATTCAGATTAGAAATCGAAAATAGGAAATTTGTTGTTGATTGATTAAATATAAACATAAATTTTTATTTGGTGAATTGATTTAAGTTACATCGAGGCCTCTGTAACACTTTCTATCCCACTTTTTTCAATATCTTCATATTAAACACAAAAATTCATTTTTATCTTGCCTCATTTTTGCTGTCATTATTATCTACACTGCTATACTGTAAAAATCAAACACATGGCTAATGTAAAAGATCGATGGTCGAATAAGACTACTTACCAACCGATGTCAAAATGCTTATTTTTTAATGTGAGTCTACAAGAGGTATTACTTTGTATATATCGTCGTTACATATTTTTTCTTTTTTTCTAACATAAAATATTTACCTGAGTCAATGAAGTGTGGCTCTGATTTCACTGCTTCTTAATTTCGCATATCAAAACATTGTTTCATGTACACCGCCAGTTCGCCAAATAAGTGATTCATATTTTCCTTTCGGTTGGGACCAGTGCAAAACAAAAACGATGTTCATCTTACTATTTCTCGCCATCAAGGTAGCGCGTGGGTGACCGTATAAAATAACATTAATCAGACACAGACCCTCACACCGACACCCTAAGAAACCATTTTCTATGTAAAAGTAAAATAATCAATCCCTGTGCGTAGAGTAATAAACTTTTCCGATCAAACAGTAGAACAATCGATCTCTGTACGTAGAATGATGAACCCTTTCGATGAAAGAGCGGAAATATCAACCCCTGTATGATGAACAATGAACTTCTTTCAACAAAAGAGAAGTACAATCAACTATCAATCCGACAATAAAACTATTCCTTGAGACGCTAAGGTAGATAAGCCGATATTTGTCAGTAGAATAAAAGAACCTGTCAATGAAGAGGCACAGAATCGAGCATTCACGTACAGTAATAAACCATTTTTATTAAGACGTAGATGAATCAATTCTTGAACGTAGAATAATGAATTGCTTCTGAGAAAGGGTAGCTTACTCTACCGAGAAAGGCAGAGTGATGTACCCTTTCAACGAGAAAGTAAAATAGTAAACCCGATAACGAAGAATAAAATACCCCTACCTTGAAAGCGAACAACAATCTATACTATCGTCCGTTGAAGGATATAGTCTTATCTTAAAATCGTAAAATAATGCATCCTTATGTACTCATCATATATCCCTTGAGTGTTCATAAAACTGTAGTGCCATAAACCCTTCGACTAATAAACGCTAAAAGGGCTCATCACATCGGAATAAACCTTTCAAGGGTTTAATTGCGACTATTTTAAGTGCAGGGGTGCATCAACACCCGCATTGTTCTATCCGTGCACCGGGATTGATATTTCCGCTCTTTTATCGAAAGGGTTCATCATTCTACGTACAGAGATCGATTGTTCTACTGCTTGATCGGAAAAGTTTATTACTCTACGCACAGGGATTGATTATTTTACTTTTACATAGAAAATGGTTTCTTAGGGTGTCGGTGTGAGGGTCTGTGTCTGATTAATGTTATTTTATACGGTCACCCACGCGCTACCTTGATGGCGAGAAATAGTAAGATGAACATCGTTTTTGTTTTGCACTGGTCCCAACCGAAAGGAAAATATGAATCACTTATTTGGCGAACTGGCGGTGTACATGAAACAATGTTTTGATATGCGAAATTAAGAAGCAGTGAAATCAGAGCCACACTTCATTGACTCAGGTAAATATTTTATGTTAGAAAAAAAGAAAAAATATGTAACGACGATATATACAAAGTAATACCTCTTGTAGACTCACATTAAAAAATAAGCATTTTGACATCGGTTGGTAAGTAGTCTTATTCGACCATCGATCTTTTACATTAGCCATGTGTTTGATTTTTACAGTATAGCAGTGTAGATAATAATGACAGCAAAAATGAGGCAAGATAAAAATGAATTTTTGTGTTTAATATGAAGATATTGAAAAAAGTGGGATAGAAAGTGTTACAGAGGCCTCGATGTAACTTAAATCAATTCACCAAATAAAAATTTATGTTTATATTTAATCAATCAACAACAAATTTCCTATTTTCGATTTCTAATCTGAATCTTAATCTTTTCTTTCTTATTCTTTTTTCCCCCTATTTATACTATACAACCCACACACACAAGAGAGAGAGAGAGAGAAAAGAAACAAAGGAAGAAAAGGCATTTGCTTCTTCAACTAGACTATTTTGTATATAAAGATGATGGTGTATCATTCTATAAATGCACTTAAATTCCAGTCGAAGAAACGATGCCATTATTTACGTCGTCACGCACGGGAGGACAGAAGACACAATAGAGAGATATGCAGAGAGAGAGAAAATAAAGAATGAAAAAGGGCGGTTGGCGTATGTGAATCTCGAGTTGGATTACGCATATCTTGAGGGTGTGGGTGAGGGTATTCGTGCGAGTATGGCTTTTTTACTCCCGATCCACAACCACACTGACACTATTTTCTTATCTTATTATTCTATAGATAATAGATATGCATATCCAGAAACGGATCGTTGTTTCTGATACTATTGATGATTCCGTACAGAAGTCACCCATTGTGATAGAACAAAAAGTTCATAAATCGTGGCGTCGTTTTATGAATGAACGAGCAATTGATCGAGCTTATGTGCCAACTGCTCATGGTATAATGTCTTTCTGTCAAAGGTTTTTACTTTGTAATATAATCTCTTTGTACATAGAACATGCAGCAAATTGTTTAACACATGGTTGTCTAATTATTCCATCATGTATTGCTGCTCAACGCCTAATGTCGCATGCAAAAACACCAGCACAATATTGGAGTAGCGTCATCTATGGTAATGCTCTTATTTTTCTTTTTTCATTTTCAACTATTTTCCACTGTTCATGTTTTCATCCAACATACAAGTATGAAGAATATTCTGCACGATAAATAATGTAAATTTAATTTATTTCTCCAGGGATTCAACAGTAAGACATTTATTACATCGAGCTGATCGAGCATTTATCTATATTTTTATCAGTGCTAGCTATACTCCATGGTAAATGTTTTCTTTATTTATAGACTAATGTTCTAATTAATTTGTTTAGGTTTCATCTTCGTTCAACGCAAACAATTTCTACAAGTTTTACTGTTGCACTCGTCTGGATCATGGCTGTATTAGGCATTACTTATCAGACTATATATCATGAAAGATATAAATGGCTTGACACATGTATTTATGTTATTGTTGGTGTTTTTCCTGGCATTGTTATCCTTATTGATATGGTAAATTTACATATACAATATTAATAATTATTTTTGTTCTTGTATTTGTTAATTTTAGACGGATCTTACCGGTATATTAGAATTAGATATAGGTGGTTTAGTCTTCATATTAGGTATCTTTTTCTTTAAATGTGATGGTATCATACCATTTGCACATGCAATTTGGCATTGTTTTGTTTTTTTCGGTGCTGCTATTCAATATTATGCAATTTATACTTATCTTCTTGTGCCACCAATTTCCTCGAATGAATTTTATTCCAAAATATAGACTTATCCGGTATTCTTGTAGAACAAAAAAATTCTAACTTATTTAGAACTGTGTCGTCTGATATGATTTATTACTTCTTTCTATGTATTCTTCAGTGCTGTCTTTTTTAACATTGATTCTTCCTTCATTTTTAGAGGATGTGGGTGTGGGTGAGGGCGAATATTATATCAAGAAAAGACTACGACTAAAGTTTTGACCTTCCTTAATGGTCAATTCTTCAAGTAGTTTAAGCACTGCATTAATTTCACATATTAACATGAGGGTGAGAGTTTGGCGTGAGGGTGAGTTTCCAATATAATTTCAAGCTTCTTACGACGATCGTTTCGAACCTTGCTTAAGAGAGAGTCCGTGGAACCACTTAGCAACTTTACTAGGAGTCGGCCGCCGGTAAAATTTTGATTTTCGATTTAACTATTCTAAATCGAAGGTCTAGTCAAACCATAGAGGAATCCAAAATATTAGACCTTTCTGATGTGCCGGAGAAAAATGGCAGCGTTTGCAAGTTATACCCCATTTATATTTGGTCAGAGAATGAAGTTTTTAGGGTGTCAGTACTATTCTATACTTTCCTCCGCATCCGCTCAATCGTTTGACTTCTGGAACATCTCAAAAGATAGAGAAATGTTTTCTCTACAAAACGTAGTGATTGATTTATTTATCCAGTACCACATATCAGTAGATAATTCTAATATACAGACAAAAAGTTGGACTAGTTAAAATGAGGATTTTCCAGTATTTTGACTATAGCCACGTCGAACCATGCCATCCCAAATTAGTTTGCATATTTTCTGAAAACCCTTGAAATTCTGCATCTCCTATGGTATTGCTTATTCAGATAAAAGTTGAGCGAAAATAGTTAGTCTACACGACAAATGTTGATATCGGACAATTTTCTGTGTTCAATCAGATGCAAGATCAGCTGAGTATATTCTGTATGATTGTCCAAATCCAAAATTTGATTTCAAATTCGTAGTCAGCATGAAAATTTGATCATAAAAATATCATTAGATTAATTACAAAGTCATCTAAGGTAAAAACCACCTACAGCGTAGCAACAATTTAAAGAATGTTTTCGAATACTTTCTGGTATGTCTATCTAATCACTAAGTCAGAGATCTAAAAATAAGAACTTTGCTTTATTTAGAATCTCTGAACACTTAGCTTGAAAATCTGCTATTTACTTTTCTCAGATTTTATTTTATTGTTGAGCTAATTAGACTTATCTCGATGTTATCGAAAATTCATATAAATCCGTTTAAATTGCTACTATTTATGGGTGCTTCTATCGTCACCGGTTATCCTGATAACAAAGTGATTTACATATTTAGAATCAGCGCATGAAACTGCGTATAATCGGGTAGTTTTTAGAAAAGAAAATATTTCTTCAAAAACGACCCTGGGGAGGGGTACAGGCAAAATTTTTGAAAAAGCCTTGAGGGGGGATCTCAGGAGCGTTTTTTGAAGAAATTAATTTTTCCCAAAAACTACATGAATTCACGTAGTGTATCATTTTGTTATCAGGATAACCGGTGACGATAGAAGCACCCATAAATAGTAGCAATTTAAACGGATTTATATGAATTTTCGATAACATCGAGATAAGTCTAATTAGCTCAACAATAAAATAAAATCTGAGAAAAGTAAATAGCAGATTTTCAAGCTAAGTGTTCAGAGATTCTAAATAAAGCAAAGTTCTTATTTTTAGATCTCTGACTTAGTGATTAGATAGACATACCAGAAAGTATTCGAAAACATTCTTTAAATTGTTGCTACGCTGTAGGTGGTTTTTACCTTAGATGACTTTGTAATTAATCTAATGATATTTTTATGATCAAATTTTCATGCTGACTACGAATTTGAAATCAAATTTTGGATTTGGACAATCATACAGAATATACTCAGCTGATCTTGCATCTGATTGAACACAGAAAATTGTCCGATATCAACATTTGTCGTGTAGACTAACTATTTTCGCTCAACTTTTATCTGAATAAGCAATACCATAGGAGATGCAGAATTTCAAGGGTTTTCAGAAAATATGCAAACTAATTTGGGATGGCATGGTTCGACGTGGCTATAGTCAAAATACTGGAAAATCCTCATTTTAACTAGTCCAACTTTTTGTCTGTATATTAGAATTATCTACTGATATGTGGTACTGGATAAATAAATCAATCACTACGTTTTGTAGAGAAAACATTTCTCTATCTTTTGAGATGTTCCAGAAGTCAAACGATTGAGCGGATGCGGAGGAAAGTATAGAATAGTACTGACACCCTAAAAACTTCATTCTCTGACCAAATATAAATGGGGTATAACTTGCAAACGCTGCCATTTTTCTTGCGCACATCAGAAAGATCTAATATTTTGGATTCCTCTATGGTTTGACTAGACCTTCCATTTTAAATACCCAGGTCGAACATTCCGGCTACCGGATCCCGTAGAATACTCCAGGGAATATGCGGGAAAGTCACCATATCCTGCAGGAAAATACAGGAAATTGTTGGAACATGGAAGCAGTATTCCAGTAAAAAATCCGGCCGGACTTTTCCGGCGAATTCCTGCCAAGTTCCGGTGATTTCCGGCAGGAATTGATCGGAAATCACCGGAAAAAATCTGAAAAATTTCCAACCGGAATACTGCTTCCATGAAATCTCCGGAATACCTCAGAAGCACCTGTTTCCGGGACCGGAATGTTCGATCTGGGAAAACTTTAACGACAGTTTGAGTAATGTATTGTACATATGGTTATTAATAACAAACAAAAACAAACGAGACGACAAATTATATGTAATTATGGCTCTAAACGAATTATGAAATTATTCTAGTTTACGACTATATCATAGTTGTTAATATGAAAATGTAACAAAATTATACATCATATTTTTCGTTTAGAAAACGAAAACAAAATAAGTCTTGACATTTTTATTGGACGAAAATAATACAATTTACTCCCACAGTTCATTTATTTGAGTAAAAAAATCTAAATAAAAATCTATTATTTCTTTTTTTTTTCATCATATTTCTTCAAATGAATCAATGTTACATGTTTCTTTTTTTATATTGGAACCTTGGCATATGATACAATATTCAAATGTCATTACTATTATTTGTCCAGCTTTATCATCAGTGTGAGTTTGTTTTTTTTCAAAACAAAATTTATATGAAAAAAAATATTTATTTGTTTTTGTTTTCGATTTTATTTCTTCAACAAATGATACAACATATATTTCAGACAAAAAAAATAAATGCAAATATGTTCTCAACAACAATTAATGTTATCTTTTATTTTCTTCTATTATAATAGTATTGTACTACTTCTTTTATTGGAAGATAATATAAAAATTTAATATAACATTATTCATATGCAGGTTGCGTATTAACACCATATTCAATTCCAGAATATTGTATATCTGGAATATTTCTAAGAAATTTTCTATTTGCTTTAGACATATTATCTAATTTTGTTAATATATCGTTTGTAAATAAACAATTATTTGTTGATAGTAACCATGTATTTTCATCAAACATTAATTGACAACAATTATCATCATACCAGAAATTATATTTAATTGTGCCAAAAATTTCTTTTTCAAATAAATATCCACCTTCTAATGATTCTATTCGATGAGGTGTACCACATGAAAAATCATTAGAATAAGAGGTTAGAAACACATAAAACATTCTTGTATCAGATTTACTAGTAATCTCGCATTCATTGGTAGTTTTGACCGCACAGGTTCAATTAATGCTGCTTTATTTTGATAAACTATATAATTTAATGCAGATAAATCATATATAGGTAATTTAATGTTATATACATTTAATTTATTTTCAATCATATCTAATTGTTCAATTAAAGAATCTTCATCGATATTCATATGACATTTATCGCTACACGTTAATGATAATAATGATAGAAAACGTTTTGATTTTATAATAATATTTTTAAAATATTCAACATGAAAATCATGGTTCATATTAATAATATAAATAAAATCATTATTTTTATATTGAATCATATCATTGAAGATAATTCTATGTAAACGGATAAATTTTCGAAAACGATCTTTCATTATCAAAAAATAAACATGAATAATGAAATAAATATATTAATTCCGTTAAATTCACATTTTTTTCACATAACACTTCATGATTATTTTCATATTTTAGAAAACATATTTTTAATGTGTTCATGAATACATGAACAATTTCTTGTAGTATTTCTATGCCATCAACTACATGATTGTGATCATAATCGAATGTTAAAACTTTTCCAATTATCCATTATAATACCCAGGAGGTCGATCAAAACAGACCACCGTAAACCGGCGTAACATTACCGTAAACGATCGTTTTAAGCCGAATTAAGGCGTTTTAACAGGGGCAGTATTACGGCCCTACACGGGCACCGTATATCAGCCATAAAACCTCGTAAAGCCGGCGTAATATTATCGTTTTCTTCGACCGGAGTAGATGACGAATATTTTGTAATGATAATTTTTGATATGGTAAAAATACTTGATTATTGATTAAAATTAAACTAGATCGTGGCCATTGTAATTGAATAGATTTAGTTTCATCATATATTTTAATGTTTGAAATATTATTTTCGTCATTGTAAATATATTTTAACAAAGAAGCAAAGTCCATTTAACTTCCCAGGTGAATCAGTCCGATACCGAATCCCATCGGACTTTATGGGGTCCTACCATCCGACGAAATCCCGTTGGATTCCTGGTTGAGGAATCAATGTCGAATTCGGCAGTCATATTTCCAATGATATCCGATTGTCGGAACCAATGAAATCCAAAGCATTCCGGTTCCGATTGACGACTACTGTCGGATTTTATTAGTTTCTGATATTAGGATCCGATATCGATTCCGAAACCAGGAATCCGACGATAATCCGATAGTTTCTTGCGCCTTCCGAAGAGCTCCGTCGGATGCCAATAGGAACCAATCGAAACTCATCGGATCGTACGCTAGTATTTATTCTCCTGAGTTTCTTTATATCTAAAATAAGAAAAAAAAGCAGATTTACGTATTTGCATCCTATAATAATAATTGTAAATATTATCTGAATTCATTCGATTTTTTATGTCGCAGTTGTTTTTCAAATGTACACTCATTTTGTGATACAAGTCAAATAGTATATTAGTTTAGTTGTTTATATTTCTCGGTGTTTTCTTTTTGAATAGAGCCTCTGTTACAAAGGCAGGTTGGCTCTACGTTGTGGAAGGTAGCTGAACCATACCGTATCATTCAGACGGATGAAAATAATAATTCTATTGGACGATTCGTTAGGCAATAAGAATCATAGAATTCATAAAACACCATTAAAGAGGAGCACAAAAAAAATAGATTTTGGAGACGGCGACCGTAGTGACAATATATTTTGCTGAAAATATACTTTTCCCTTAAATTTTTCTCTATTAAATGCTAGTTAGTATTTTTCTCTAATTACATATAGTCTTGTTATCAATCAACAAACAACAGTTTCAAGTGTGGGCACGGTAGGCAATTCGAACTCCCATGAATAATTACTTTTGAATTTGATAAAAATTTGAGCTATAATTTCACCTGTGAGTGTATTACCTAGCTCAATTTCATAGAGACGTAACATTAAGATCAAATCTAGTGCACATTTTCGGATAAAAATACCTATTGGTTCATTGTCTTCCATATCATATAAACCATGAGCTTGAAGGTGATGAACAAGAAAATATGCACTTTGTAGCGGACTCATATTTAATGATGCCTTAATTAAGCCATAAATTGATGCAAGCAATAGAAATATTAGCCAAAACCATAGTCATGAAAAAATGATATTATTAATTATGTTAATAGGCAAAACACAATCACTCCATGTATTTTCAAATCCACCTAGAATAGTAAACATAAAGACTGAAACGTTTACATCAAAACATAAATCAAAAGATTAGTCAAGTCTCAATAGAATAAATATTTTTGTATATTTATTAGGAATACGAAGAGTACTAATACTAACATTAATCTATTTTTTTCGAATTTTCTTATTTATTGCATCTAAGAACATGCTGATCAAACAAAATCTAAACGTATTTATGGATCGGTATTTATTTGCATGTATGGTAATATCTGTCACTAGCAAATAAAATCTATATTTTTTCTCTGTCTCAAAATTCGATTAAAACTCATCCACCGTAAATTGAGATTTCTTTTCGTTATTATGTATCTGAAGTCTTTAACTTTCTGTAGTAATCAAGTAACACAAACAAGCTTAACTCAAATAAAAAGTTAGAAGTAGATTTCACATAAAATCAATGTCAACATTAAGAAAAATAGCGTATCCCAAGTCATTTATTTAATAATTACTTTAAAGTACTTAAGAATAAGAAACTTTTCAGTACCGTTAAGCGAATTACACACTAAGCCATGATAAGCGCTTAAAAGGATATATTTAAGCCAAATCAAGCGCTTACTTCAGAAAAATAACTTTTAATCGCTTAAATCATGCAAACTCAAGTGCTTTTAAGTTATTAAGTTAGAAAAAAAGCTATTTTAAGCCGCTGAAAAATAGCTTACAATGGAAAATTTTTTTACATGGGCTGTTTTGAATTGATTTAAGTACACCCCCATTCGATTTTAAAATTTCAAATTATTGTTGAATGTCTCTTTTGACCCTTATATTAGCTTGATTTTAATTTATTAATACTGGATTTTGTCTAATATTATTATTGTTTTCCGTATAGTTTTGCGATTCTAGAGATACGTGATGGTATCCTTAAGCAAGAGTGATTAAAACACCCTCAATCTATTAATGTTCTTTCAACTACAGTCTGAATATGAGACATGAGAAATAGCAATTACAATCCTTCGCGTCATAGGCGCGCCTCCTATGCTTCAGTGAATGACAAGCAGCGGCAATTGTGCTCTTTTCTTTTATCACAAGTAGAAACCATAACGAAATTCACATTATACTCTATTTGTTTTCAATTCTTACACAATATGAAAAGAGAAAATACAAAAAGAATTCAAAATTCATCTAGTAATATTATAGTTAGTGTTTATGTTTTTTGTTTTAGGTCAATCGAATGCAATGAAAACAAGATATTGTAATGAAATGAAAATGTGCATAAGAAAAATAAACAATTGGTAAAAGAGCGAGAAATTTTCGATGTTGAAGAAGCAATATCATTTCGATGAAGTGATTCGGCAAGTGAAAAACAAAAGACTATCATTGTTATCGAGAAGGAATTGACACAAAGAGATGCACATATCACATTTGAAAAATGCCAAAAAGTTTTTATTGAAAAACGAATCGACAATTGATTTCATAAATATTTCTCATTTTGTCAACAATCTTTAGAAAAGATCTTTTCAAGTGCACCGATAACGAAAGAGGAAAAAGAATCTATATATTTTCTTTGTATCAGATAAATGTAGATTTATGTAATATTGGAGCGATTATAATTCGTTAGTTAACTAGAAATTTTCTTCATTATCCTAATATGTAGAAGATCAATGAAATAATAGCAAAATAACCCATAATAAAAACCAACCGATGAAATTATTTTTTATTTGCGTTATACAATATTGCCATTGACAGCAAATATAATTTGTAAAGAAATCATTAAATCACTGCGCAGATCAGATTTCTAAGGTTTCCTTACAGCCTTACAATGAAAATTATACTTCTTTTGTAAACAAATTCAGTAGTATGAAGATAAGAAAAATTCCATTCATTTGATTATATTTCTAATAAAGTGCATAAGGGCATGCGAAGATGCAGAATTTGACGGCGAAGCACATGACTGTTCATGTGCAGACTATTTCAAAACCAAGCAAGTTCTCACGATCGTCTAAGGTGATTGTATTACCAAATTAAAATGAAATAGTAATGATATAACCAAATGATATGATCTTAAGGAACCAGATACGTGTGAAACATATTCTTTTCTTATCTCGAAAGAGCACACCCATAACGTTCGCAAAACCGTCTCGCCATTCTCCGTGCAATATTTTGTTTGAAGCCTGCCCGCCTGTTAGTAGTCTCACAAAATGAAACCTCCCTCCGCCTATCCTTATGAGACCAGAGAAAATTTTTAAGTGTACCTGTTTTATCCTTGTCTCTCATTGCGGGCAAAACAAAGCGGCTGCAAAAGGCAGATTGTTTATTATGATTTGTTCTAAGATAATCAACAAGAATATATTTTTCTTGCTGTTCTTTCAACAGTATTTTCATACTCAATGGACTATACTTTGCATTCGTATTATTCAATCCGAATTACGCAACAGATGTAGGAACATTTGAAGACTCATAAGAATTATGCAACGTTATAATGTAGCACTATTATTCAATTCATCGGAAGATAAATTAAATGATCAGGGATTACACAATCGACGGACCAGGGCGGGGATGGGGCGTCAAGGATATAACATCCTCGAAAGATAAAAAGTGTTAAATTTAATACTTTAAAAACATGATGATACTTTTCATTTCACATAAGAATATTTTCCAAAAGTTTCCGAAGACAGGTCTGCAATCGCATGAGCGCAGCTTTTAGTTCAGAATAGTTACCATAAACATTCCTAATTTTAAGCTGATCAGCCTATCCCCATAGAAGCTCATATATTTATACACATGTTAATGTAAGCCCATCATTGTAGTGCAAATGTAGAGAAAGTGAGAAAAGACTGAA